CCCTCCGCCTCCGCGCTCCCCCCTTCCCCCGCTGCCGCCCCAGGGGCTTTTCCTGGGTCCAACCCGTGGAACTAGAAGGAGGTGGCAGACTGGGCTGCAAAGTAGAGTATGAGCGAGAAGCCTCAGGCTGTGGCAGAGGCTGGCCTGGGGTCACATCAAGAGCCATCTCACTTTTCTCACTGGCTTTGTGGAGTGTCTGTGGGTTGGATTAGGACTGGGTCTGGTTCTCCAGGATTTGAACCTTACAAGGGACCCCAGAGTTCCTCCAGGAGAATCCCCATTGTTACAGATGGGTCCATTGAGACCCAAAGAGGGAGAAGTGATTTGCCAAGTTGCATAGAGTGAGACGACCTGGCGCTCTGGTTCTGGTTGTCCTTGCGTCTGACCCAGGTGCAGTGTACCTACCTCTCTCAGTGTCTGCCTGCTCCCTCCTCCAGCCCCCACCCCGCACTGTGCTTCTGGCTACTCCATCACATTCCAGGTGGTGGGCATCAGTTTCTCCTAGCCTAGCCTGCTGGCCAAGAGGGATTTGGATGAGGATGGCCTGGGAGATACCATCCAGGATCTGGGGTGGGCGCTGCCCAGTGAGGAAAGTGCTGTCTGCTGACCTGCGTGTGCCTTCCAGCTCTGCCATCGACAAGCGGTCCGGGGAGAAGGTGGCCATCAAGAAGCTGAGCCGGCCCTTCCAGTCTGAGATCTTTGCCAAGCGGGCCTATCGAGAGCTGCTGCTGCTGAAACACATGCAGCATGAGAATGTAGGCTGGGCCGGGGGCTGCTGGGGAAGGCAGGGAAGAGGGGGGTGGCCCAGACAGGGCCCCCTGCGTGTGTGCAGGAGATGGCCAGAGAGGGTACAGAGAGCTCAGGACAGGTCCAGGAGAAGGGGAACCTCCTCCCTGCTCCTGCAACCCTTGTACCTGCCTCATATTAAGATGGGGTACAAGAGCTGCCCTGCCTAATTCCCAGAAAAGATGCAAAGGGTATGTTTGGCAGTGGATCAGCATGAACTTTGTGAGATGCAAACTTATTGTCACTGTTATGAGTAAGCAAGCACAGCGGAACTTTGTAAATCTGTTCTACATCTAAGAGCTGGTGCCCAGAATCCAGGTTAATGTTATTTCCACATGTGACCCTGATAATAACGACAACAATAATAATAGATACTTATTGAACACTTATTATGTGCCAGGCACTGTTCTAAGAGCTTTGCATAAACTAACTTATTTAATTCTCATAGTATCACATGAGATAAGTATTAAGCCTGGCTCTAGGCCTCAGTGTATAATGATTAGACTGTTCTATCTAACAGAAACAATTAGGGAAAAAAGTGACCCAGCACTGGGCCTGGCAACCAGGCTTTGCTTTAGGACACCTATATCGGGAAGCAAACATTTAAAATAATGATTTCAATTTAAGCCCTATTCCTCTTCAGCAATACTCCCCATAGCCTCTAGCCAGGGGTGATCTTGCCCCTGCCTCCAAACCAGCCCTTTGGCAGGCAAAAATGGATGTGGCAGGAGACCAAAGGTCTTCCTGCTGGCTGGAAGGTGTCTTCCCTGTTTCCACCTTGATTCCCTTCACCGCTCATGGGTCCCTGCTTGATATGAGAGTGGGTTCGTGCTGCTTGCCCAGAACACCAGACTTGGGGGAAGTGAGCACAGGAATGGCTACCTCCCCTTCTCCCCAGCCGGACTCTCCATCACGGTGCACCAAAAGCTCCCTCCCAATTAGGGAGATTCCTCTTCTACTCTGTCCTTTTACTGCTTCCAAGAAGGCTGGGATCCTGCCTATTGCTGGAGATGGAGTATTAGGAAAGGATGGATGGTCACTGCGTGGCTGGGTCCTGGGGGAGGGGTAGAGAGGGCTAGGCGGCTGCCCAGCCCTCACCGGCAACCTTCTCCCCAGGTCATTGGGCTCCTGGATGTCTTCACCCCAGCCTCCTCCCTGCGCAGCTTCCATGATTTGTGAGTCGGGCCACACTGGGTTTCAGGATATTGCATGCCTTGGGAGCAAGTTGAGGGACGGTTGAGATTCTCTAACCGGGTAGGGGAATTCCCGCCCTGGCAGTCCCTGTGCCTCTGTGCTTTTGAGGTGTGATTCTCTCTGGAGAGGTCCTTTCAGCCAAGGGTAGAGAGGACAGCAGGCAGGAAGAGGTAGGAGGAGTTTTGTGGGGTATTTGCCTGACACAAAGCTGTCTGCTAGCTGCTTCCCATGTTACCCAGTTTTAACACCCCAAGACATCATTGCCAGTCTTCACTGGCACCAACCTCACTGACATCACCAGTTCATTGCCATTCCCTGGGGGCCCAGGTGTGAGTCTGGACCTTGGGGCTCTTCCTAGAATGGAGCAAGGATCAGGAAGTCTTGGCCTCCTCTGGCTAATGGGATGTTTGACAGAGTTATACACTACCAAAAAATTTAGTGGCTAAATGCATGGCTTTGCTAGTGCAGTGCCTGGTCTAAAATTTAGAAACCTTTGGAAAGGTTTGTTAGCATGCTTTTGTTTTAAATGTAATAAAGTAATTTGGAATGAAGTTTTTCCTATAATGTCAGTTGCTGGGCTCAGCATTTGGAATTTAAAGTGGACCAGCTAGAAGTCTGCCTGAGGTAGAAGGGGCTAGGGGCATCCCAGGTAGAAGGAACTGCAAGGGCAGAGGCCATGGTACATGAAAGAGGCTGGACTGTGTGGGCAATACTGAGAAGTTTGATGTGGCTAGTGGAGGCCAGTGGCTGATTTGGTCAAGCTAAGAGTCCAGACTTGTTCCCATGGGCAGCCTCAAGTTCATGGAGGTTCTGAGCAGAGAAGTGATAGGGTCACATTAGATTTTTGGGATGCACTCTGATGGTAGCTGGAATGGAACAGAGAGCCGTTTTGGGAGGTGGGAACCTAGAGGGTCATGTTCAAGACCTAGACCTGGATCTAAATAGAATAGTGGTGATGGGATGCTGAGAGCAGACCTGAGACCCTTGGGGTGAGATAGCATAGATCAGGGTATGTCAGGTTCTTGCTTGCAATACAAGGTGGAGGGTGAACAGATCTTGGGAGAAAGATAATGTGTCCATTTCAGACACTTCACTTTTGAAATGCCTATGAATACTCAAGTGTTTGATTAGCAGTTGCAAATAAATCTGGAGCTCAGGAGAGAAAAGTTTGTGCTAGGGATGTGGATCTGGGTTGAAATAATCACCCATGGATGGTAGCTAAAACCCAGGAACAGGCTAATGTAGAACATGAATACTGTTGATTAAAATATCAGCATTAAAGGGAAAGTCCAAGAGGATGAGCAGGTGAAGAACTGAGAGCACCTGATCAGAGGTGAAGGTGAATCAGCGGAGACTCTTGAGGGAATGTCAGATTGTGCAAAGGTCAAATAGGACAAGAGGGAGCCAGCGGTGTATGTATTGGGCAGTTAATGGTGTCCTTGATCTGAGCAATGTTGGCAGTTGGGCAGGGCCAGGTTGGCCTGGGAGTTAAGGCTGTTGGGTCAAGAGATGTGGACCACTCTTTCTAGAAATTTGATGGGGAGAGAAAGAGGAAGAAGGGGTGTTTATCTGAGAAACAATGTCAAGGGAAGGTGGTTCTATCACAGTGAGACTTCAGGAAGTTTGTGGGCCAAGAAGAAAGAACCAGGGTCCGTGTAGAGGTGGAAGATAGGCGGGGAGGGATTGTGCATGGAGCGGGGGTCAGCAGGAGGAAGGGGGGTGGTCGGGCTGAAGAAGGCTTCAAAAAGTCACAGGCTCATGGAGGTGGCTTCCACCACATCTTTTTTTTTTTAATGTTCCTTTTTCAATCCTATCATTTTTTATTCTAGACTTTGGTGGTACCACTTCGAGTAATCATTACATTCTGCTGACCTGGACTGGTTTTGCAATCCCATAAGGGTGCAACTCCTTAGCCAGCTCCTTCTTCCTTCTTCTACCCTTCTAAAAATTGTTTCATTGTTTCCTTCTTGGAAGGGCAGACAGTTTTGGTTGTTCTTGGAGCCATCAGCTGGATATGACCCTCTGGGGGAGAGAAGATTTGGAGAGAAGCAGAAAGAAATAGTAGCAGATGTTTCTAACTCACAGCTCTTGCTCTCTGTGGGGCATGGAGGAGGGCAAGGAGAGGGCACCTTTGAAGAGGTGGAACACAGCTCCATTTGGTTTTCCTAAATATGTTCCAGCTGAAATGCTCACCCTGAGCTCTGCCAGCTAGGTGGCCACTGTGGCTAGGCTGGGAGCCAGGAGGCCTGTGTGGGGGTCTGGATGGATGTGGTTGAGCTGGTTCTTCTTACACACGGAGGTCATCTCTAAGGCCCCTGTTCTGCCTCAGCCCCTTGCCCCTCCTCTGAGCTCAGACCCGGGGCTGGGTGGGACTTGGGGCCACTCACCAAGCTCTCGTGCCTTGCAGCTACCTGGTGATGCCCTTCATGCAGACAGACCTGCAGAAGATCATGGGGATGGAGTTCAGTGAGGACAAGATCCAGTACCTGGTGTATCAGATGCTCAAAGGTCTTAAGGTGGCTAGAGACCTGGAGAATGGCAGAGGGGGGACACCTTGGTGTTGAGACCTGAGGTTTGGGGGAGGCTAGGCTTTGGGGGCCAGAAGAGCACACTGACGGAGTGGAGGGGGTTTCTGAGCCAGCCTGAAACAGCCGGTGTAGAAACCGAACTTCTCTTTCTTCTACACAGTACATCCACTCAGCCGGGGTCATCCACAGGGTGAGTGCTTTCTCTTCTACAGTCCTTCCCACCCCTGAAGGGGTTCTCCTCAGTGTGTGTGTGTGGCGGGGAGGGGGGGGGCGTTGAACAGAGGGGACAATAATCCTCTGGGACATGGGATGTGGTTTTTTTCAGACCCATCCTTGGCCCAGAAGAACCTGCCTCAAAGGAATTGCTGTGTTCTGGGGAACTTTTGGGGGAAATGCTGCAAACAAAGCAAGCCCTGAGCTGGGTGTTTCAGGCCCTGAGAATCAGGAGCATTTTAGAGTTGGATGGGCCCTACAGGACACCTAGTCCAACCCTCATTTTATGCACGAGGAGACCGATGCTCAGAGAAGGGAAGGGGCCTGCCGAGGTCTCATGCCGGGTGGTGGCTGAGCAAGGACAAGTTTCCATCTCTGCCTCTCAGCCTGGTACTTGCTTGCTCTCTCTTCTCATGTAGGACTTGAAGCCAGGCAACCTTGCTGTGAACGAGGACTGTGAGCTGAAGGTGAGTGGGCCCAGGCAGGGCCAGCCCAGGGATGGGGTGGGCCCCTCTCCCGCAGAAGGCCCCCGAAGCTGTTCCAAGGGCCTCCTCTCCTCAGTGAGATTCCTTCCCTATGTCCCCCGATTCGTAGATCTTGGATTTTGGGCTGGCACGGCATGCAGACGCTGAGATGACTGGCTATGTGGTGACTCGCTGGTACCGGGCCCCTGAGGTGATACTCAGCTGGATGCACTACAACCAGACTGGTCAGTGGTCAGCTGCCTGGAGGCCTGGGGGTCTTCTGTGGCAGCTTCCCCCAAGGCCATCTTGGTTACTTCGGGTTGACTGATCACTGGGTGGTGGTCAGTGGTTTATGCGACACTTCCTCCCCTCCCTCGGCAGTGGACATCTGGTCTGTGGGCTGCATCATGGCAGAGATGCTGACTGGGAAAACTCTGTTCAGGGGGAAAGATTGTATCCTTTGCTGAAAAAGCCCATACTCCACCCAGGGATTCATTCCTTCAACAGATGCCTTCTTACTTAAATCTCTTTTTTTTTTTCTTTAATGCGGAGGTGATACATGCTCAGTGTAGAACAATTTTAAAAAGCAGGTAAGCAAAATGATGAAAACTAGTCGCCTTCATTGCATCACCATGTAGAAAATTCTTCATGTTTTGGCACCACACACACTAATTAAGTGCCTGCGTGTGCAGTGAAGGCATTGATGAGAGGATGTAGGTTCCGCTCTGCTGAGCTCAGTGTTAGGGTCGTGGAGACAATGAGGGACCCTAACCCACCCTGGCAGGGGAAAGCCTTCCAGAGTCCTGAGTCTTGAAGGATGAACCTCCTCTCCTAAAGCAGGAGGGGGCTAGGTACATCTGGAGCCTGGGTGGTGGCCACAGGGACTGGGTGGCAGTGATGGAGGGCCCGCGGGAAGGGCAGCTTCCAATCTGTCAGCAGAGAGTGAGGCCAACCCTTAACCTACTGCCAAGACTTGGACCAGTTGACCCAGATCCTGAAAGTGACTGGGGTGCCGGGCACAGAGTTTGTGCAGAAATTGAATGACAAAGCGGTGAGTGACCAATGGGCCTAGACTGTGCACTTGTCTGACCAGGGGCAGGTGGGCTGCAGGCCTTTGGGGAGGAGGGCTTACCTGTGCGTCCCTCTGCCCTTGCAGGTGCTCTCGCCTTCATCCCACTTTGGGCTCTGACCAGAGCCATGAGCCCTACTGGGGCTTTTCTGGAATCCCTGCCCTATACTCCAAGGCCCGAGCCCTGAGGGGCTGACAGTTGGGAATTACTCAGTGCCTTTCTGTCTTCCAGGCCAAATCCTACATCCAGTCCCTGCCACAGAGCCCCAAGAAGGATTTCTCCCAGCTCTTCCCACGCGCCAGCCCCCAGGGTGAGTCTTGGGTCTGTCCCCACAGAACCACTGCTTTTTGTCTCAGTGAATGGGCCTGGGTCTGAGACTCATGCTCTTGCTGCAGCTGCAGACCTGCTGGAGAAGATGCTGGAGCTGGATGTGGACAAGCGCCTGACAGCCTCACAGGCCCTCGCCCACCCCTTCTTTGAACCCTTTCGGGACCCTGAAGAGGAAACAGAGGCCCAGAAGTTTGATGACTCCTTAGAACACGAGAAACTCACAGTGGACGAATGGAAGCGTAAGAGCCAGGCGCTTGGGCTCCTTCCTCTCCTCTCTGCCTGCAGCCTCTCTCTGCCTGCAGCCTCTCTCCTTTGCCTACTTCATTTTCATGTCTGGCCTCAGATAGCCCCTGTCTCTGGAGTTTGCTGCATCCTTCTCTATGAGTGGATATTGTCTCCTGCATCCATTTCTTTCTTCCTGAGCTGACTTCCTACTCCACGTTATATCTGTGGGGGCTGGGGACAGGTTCTTTCTTGCCCTCAGTACCCCAGACCCACCTTGAGCCACCCTGCCTTTCTCAGAGCACATCTACAAGGAAATTGTGAACTTCAGCCCCATTGCCCGGAAGGACTCGCGACGCCGAAGTGGCATGAAGCTGTAATGACTCATCTAGCTGACCTGCGGCTAAGCCCAGGGATCACTACATAGCACCACCTGCCAGACATTGTCCCTAGGACCAATATTTATTAATAATGGTTTCAACCATTATTGGATTATAGCCTTCCGAGCAGAGGACAGAAGAGCCCTGGTCCTTGTGCCGAATTCAAAGATCTTGGTTGGGAGAAAATAGCTCTGATCATAACCAGCCACATTAAACACCCATCTGGAGAATCGCCTGTGTGTGGGGTCCTTTCCTTCACAGCTATAATGGGGCTAAGAGGGGTGGGCTGAGCCGGGGCAGGGGTCTACAGCAGTGAGGATGTATTAGTTTGCTAGGGCTGCCGTAACAAATTTCCATTAAAACACCAAAACTTTATGCTCCCAAGATTCTGAAAACTGGAAGTCTGAAATCAAGGTGTCGGCAGGGGCATGCTCCCTCTGAAGGTTCTAGAGAAGAATCCTTTTTTTGCGTTTCTGTAGCTTCTGGTGTCTCTCAAATCTTTGGTTGTCCTTAGCTTGTACTGCATCAGTCTCCTCTCTGCCTCTTTCACATGGCCTTCTCCCCTGTGTGGATCTGGCTGTCTTCCCCTTATAAGAACACCAGCTATTGAATTCAGGGTCTACTCTAATCCCATATGATCTCTTCTCAAGCCTTACTAGTTATATCTGCAAAGACCCTATTTCCAAATAAGGTCCTGAGCTTCTGGGTGGATGTGACTTTCTGGGGAACACTATTCAACCCACTACAGAAGGCCACGAGGGAGGGCCCTTGCCTGGGCCTGGTGCTCTGCCACGGAGCCAAGCATGTTGGGCTGCTAAATTAAGAAAGTTGCAGAGAGAGTTACAGCTGGTGAGACACTGACTGCATGCAGATTATTTTGGGTGAGTGATAAGCAATCGAGATATGAAACAACGGCAGGCTTGTTGACTGGGAGCTGCAGGAGGCAGGAACGGGCTTTTTCCAGGCTACGGAAAACTGTTCTGTGCCTTGCCCTTGTTGGGAATGATCCATCTCGGCAGAGCTTCAATCTGACATTGGCTAAGATCCCTCTATTTAGATTTAAAAAGCTTTGATAGAACTAATTCCCATGCACAAGGAGTCAGGCGCCTGGCCCCCTAGTTCCTGCCCTGGGCCCAGTGGGTCTCAAACTTCCTCGTGCACCAGGGGCCTGGTTAAAATGCAGATTCCTGGGCTCTACCCCAGGGACTCTGATTTAGTAGGTCTGCAGCCGAGACCCTAGAATGTTTGAATGAAGACCCCCTTTCCTCATCCTTAGTCTAGTGATTCTGATGGCTATCAGGCAATACTTAGAGAAACATTTAGCTGTTTTCTGTACCACTTAATTCGTCAAGAGGCCTAAATTAAGAACGTAAAATGGAGACTGAGGAGTTTAGGAAACTTCATGCTCTCATTTTGCAGATGTTAAAACAGGCTTAAGGCATTTTTAGGGCAGTGAAACTATTCTGTGTGATACTGTAATTATGGTTACATGACATTAATATATTTGTCAAAACACCAAGAGTGAACCCTCAAGTAAACTATGGACTTAAGTTAATAGTAATGTACCAATATTTGGCTCATCATTTGTAGCAAATGTGCCACATTAACGCAGGATGTTAATGATAGGGGAACTGTGGCATGGATGGGGAGGGAGAATATGGAACCTTCTGTATTTTTGGCACAACTTTTCTGTAAACCTAAAACTTCTCCAAAAAATAATGTGTATTTTTTTAAAGAATCAAATAATGTAATTAAAAAAAAAAAATCTTGAGGCCACACTGCCCCTTCCCTGAGAGATTCAGTCAGATACCCACAGTTAGGAAGCGGTACAGTCAGGATTTGAACCAGAACAGCCTTGACCACTGTGCCAAAGACTCTTAACCCACACTTGGATTCAAGGATTGCTCAGCTTTCTCAACCTTCCCTCCCTTCTATTCTGTCTCTCTGAGCTCCTCACTGCTGCTTGTGTCCATGGGTTCTGATTTCTCTCCCACAAGAGTGGCCCTGCTGTCAATCAGGGAGTAGTAGGTATTAGGAGGGGCTGGCCATGTCCTGTCATAGCCCCAGCCTTGCTGGTTACTAAATTGCCCCAGGTCCCCTGAATCTACATCTCTCAGTTAATTGCCTTCTGAGACACCTCACTGGCCCCAAGGATAAAGTCCACGCTTGGCCTGGCATTCCAAGCCCCTTTCATTCTCTCTAACCTCATCAACTCCCACTGCCTCCCATTTTCCTTATGCCAGTGTGGCCTGCCATGCAACACGAGTCCTGGGATATACCATGAGGCTCACCCTGAACCTTAAGAAGTCAAAGGCTCTGACAAGTCCTGTGGTAAAGATATCTGTTCAACATTGTTTAATCGAGAACTTTCCAAATGTCCTTAACCACAGGACCCCATTTTCTCCTGACAGCCATCACACACAGAGCCTTCTTTGCCAAGGGCACAGGTTTCTATACCACTTTTCCCCAAGCAGGCCTGAGGCTTGGATTTCTTTCAGAACCTCTGCAGAAGGTTCTCCATCTCTCTCCTCACTGAGAAAAATCCTCCTTATCCTTCAAGGCTTTGCCTCAGGCCTCTCTCCAGGAAGTCATTTTCTAGCTTCCTTCCTCTACCCCAGGCCCTCTGTGTGGGGCATCTACAGTGTATGTGGTTCTGCCTCCCCTCCCCAGTGCCACTGTGAGCCCGTGCTTGGGACAAATATCCATGAATGAATGAATGAATGAGGGAATTAATGATGTTCCAGGGTCCTCTTGGTCATTTGTCTGCCCCAACCAGACAAGCAGCAGAGAACACAGCAAGAAGCAGAAGTGGTGGCCCTGCCCTGCACCCTAAAAGTTGCTCCCCTGAAAAATTGCAGACTCCCAGGCCTCTCCCATCATTACTCAGTGTCTTCTAGTCCATCCCCACCCCAGAATTAAATTTCCATGGCTGCTTCAGCCCCTTCCCTACAATGATCTCAAACCCGGGAGTTTTCTCCAAAGAGAGGTGAGGGTGCTGAGCAGTGGGAAGGGGTTCATGGATTCCGGCCTTACTCTGTGGGCACTCGAGCAGAGTGACAGGAAATGAGTTCATTCTCAAGCTGGGTGGGAGCCTGAGCTTGGGAGATCAGGCTCAGCTACTCTCACGGCTGGCCTGCAAGACATCAGGCAGGTCTTGTGCCCCTAGCCCTTGGTAGACAGGGTTGGGCTTTGCTCTGTGGCCAGTGGGAAGCTTGAAAGGTCTTAACAGAGATAAAGAAGCCAGACTCAGGGACTGAGGACAGTTCGGTAACAGTTGTTGTGTCCTTGATTCTCTCCTTAGTGAAGTGAAGGGTGTCCTTGCATGATGACACAGCTCCTCTCCCAAGGCAACTGGGGCCTGGCCATCCATGCTACCCAAGGCAGGACTTGCCTGGTGTATATTGGGAGTGGTGCTGCTTCCAGTGAGGGGCAGCGCATGGGGAAGTAGAGAGGGAGGAACTAGCCTCCCAACAGAGAGCCTGGTATGCACAGACTCCTGGAGACTTGTGTGAGAAGGGGCATGGCTCAGCTTTCACCCGGCGCATCGAAATAGTGTTTGAAACTTTCTTTTCATGTCCCCCAGCAGCGCGACAACCATAGCTGAAGAAACAGGAATCTCTTCCTGTCTGTTCTCATTCTTGGCTTTAAATTTAGTTGAATCCCCCCAAGAACCGGTGCTGGGCTGCTACCCGGAATTTATGCCACGGTGAATGTTTTCATTCTCCCTAAATCCCCCTGTGATCTCAGGTAAAAGGCTGGTGATCTTCTCCTTTTCGCCATGGGCAGCAGAGGCCCAAGTCTATTTAATTAAACTGAAAATCTCAGCTGTCCCTGATGATGCTCCACCACTACCTCCCCACCCCCCTGCCCAAGATTTCCTGGAGCAGGGGTGGTGCCGGTGAAATTTTGATCTAGCTCCCATAGAACCTCTGCTCAGCTGAGCAGTTACCCTCACTCTGGGTCAGAGTGTCAGCAAGCCCCCTCTGGGCCGTGGATCCCTTCTCAAAATAATATTTTCATATGCACAAAATAAAATACACAGGGTTATAAAAGAAGCTAGTTATGTTGAAATAGAGTTGTGAAAATATTTTTTAAATGTATGATGTCATAAGACATGGGTTTCTTTATTATCACATTAAATAACAAGATCTAGGCACGAACCTCATAAACTACTGTAAATGTGAAGTAGAAATGAGTGTAAATGATGTTTCAAGATATCTGCAGCAAGAGGAAAGGGAGATGAAAAGCTCTGTGCTGTCTGCTGGCACTGTGAATACAGCCGCAGCTTGTTGCCTTTACTCGTACATGAGAAATGGAGTTGAGTAGAAGTAAAGCTGTAATATTTTACAGTCTAAGTTCATGGACCACTGAATTACGGTGTATAGTCTATGGTTCGTGGACCCCAGTTAAGAGCCCTTGTTCTAGATACTAAAATGTGACTTTAGCTGTCCTCTGCTATTTCTTAACTGAGCCCCCACTCCCCATCTTGCTTGCTCATGCAGCCTAGATCTGCACCTGGCTGCCTACAACACATATTAACCCCACCTCCCTCCCAGTCCCCTGTGTCTCCCAGCCTCACTATCCAGGTAGGAACAGGTCTGACTGGGGCGTTTTGCTAGGGAATTTGCCCAGGCCTCTAGAGCTAGTTTGCAAACTGGGTGAAATTCTCTTGTTCCCACTCCACAGTATTCCCTCTAAATGATTTTAGTGATGAAGACATTTGGGTCCAGAGTGGAGATTGGGGTCCAGGTCCCCTTCTATTTACCACTGCACTGTTCTTTCCACTGCAGCAGTGGCATGATCACTTATTGAAATTAATGTGCGGTTTTCTCTCCCTGCATTATTGTCTCTGTCCTCCCAATCACCATAGGCATAAAGACAGGTTTGTGTTAAACTGGCCGAGAGAAGAAGCTACCAGAAAGACACTTGTTTCTCTCTGTTTTTCCAAAGGTCTCACCCTGAGAATATTTTGCTAGGACTCCAGCAGGGGAAAAGGTTGAGAATGAGGGAGAGAAGTACACTTGAGAAACAGTGTGGCTTAGCTACGATGTTTCTTCTGACCAGAAGGAGATAGAGACCTGCTAGTGCTCACATTCTTTGGGGACTGTGCCCAGCTCTCCATCAACACCCTGGCAAAACTCCAGAGGAGGCTTCTGGGTACACTTAGGGAGGCTAGACCCTAAGAACAGGGCTCTTGGTCTTGGCTGAAATCCCTGTGTCCTGAGTGAGT